GGTAGGTAGGTAGTAGGTAGGTAGCTGTCGGTCAGTCGGTGGGTGGTTGGTCGGTAGGTAGGAGTACCAGCAGCAGCCGTAGGAGTAGCTACTTCTCCCACTACTAGTACTGCTGCCACAGCCGCACTACTGTGGCTTTCAGGCTTCCGCAAGAGTCATGTCCTTTCTGAGTGCGGTTGGATTCTGAAGTCCGAGCATTTCCTGTCCTAATGGCAACCCTATCACCTGCTCGCCCTCTTCCACGTTCAATCTATCTTCTGTCGTGCTTGTGCGGGTCTACACCAGCCTCAAAATCGCCTGGTGAAAGCAGCCTCTGAGGCGCTGTGGTCTAGGGATGACCCATGCAGCGCATCTTGGTTGCTCCGCATCTCTTACATGACTGTATATGCACACCCATATTAGTTCGCTGCAGTCTCTTGTTCAAGACCCTTTTCGACACATCAACACAAGTAGTTGTCAGTTGTTGTTCGTTTTGGGCAGTTGCCCAGCCTGCATAGGTTCCAACATCTCGGCTAAGGCTGCCGAATCGGCTCATCTTTCGCAGGAGCCCTGCCAGCTACCTTTTCGCAGTTCACAAACATGCAATCCCAAACTCGCAGGAGGGTAGGCGGTGTTCCAAAGAAAGCATGCACACCACCTTCACTGCTGCCAATGAGCTTTTCGGAGGCTGGCCCCCTTCATCCGCCTGATCGAATGCTGACCGCAAGGCCCAACATTCACCCCGCAAATCAGAGAAGCCCATCGTCATTGAATGGCACAAGCAAGGCCTTTGAGTCAGCAGAAGGTTGCTAGCCACGCAGCCAACTGGTCCACATCAGGGACATTCTGAGTCACGAAAGGGTGGGCCTCATGTTGACCACTCGAACAAAGACGAAAAGTGATGGCTCCGTTCAGTCTAAAAGCATGTGTCGGTGACGGCGGTTCACTGTCAAGCCCCCGGCCAGCAAGTACTCGGTGTCGGCGCGTCTTGCCACATCGCGCGTAAGGCACAGCGCGTCAAACTCGACAAGCTCTGGAGGAAAGTCTGGCGTCAGCCTACGCGATGCATTTCTGAAAGGATTTGACGGAGAACGGCTACGGCTATGGTCCTACGGTTTCCTTCAGATCTACCCAGCTGCCCCCTCTTGCAGGCACAACCACCTCGGCTCAGGCTTCTCGCACAAGTGGTCGAAAAGGACCTGACAAGCACCACAGCTGCTTCCAGTATGCAACTGGTACCCGATTCCAGGCAGGAAGACGAATCAGTCGTCACAGGACACAGAACCGCCTCTTGTCTTGCAAGAGACTCCAGGACCGACTCCGAACTTTACTCGCCCTACCCCGTCTCTTACAGTTCCTGATAGAATTTGCGGGCATGGTGCAGGGAAGGATCCGATGTCCGCAAACGGATATCTTCCCGTGCTGAGCTCCTGAGGCTGCTCTCAGATATGGCTATTCAACAAAATTCAAAAGATATCTATAACTCTGCGGTCACTGCGAGATCCTTCTCACATGTCTGCAGGTGAAGGCTGCTTTCCAAGATGCAGAACACTGCATGATCCAGCTTTGCTGTTGCCACTATTGCCACCGAGGCTCGTAAATCACCATTCCTACACTCCAGATATCTGAAGCGAAGGAATAGTCCTGGCCTAAACAACGTTCTGGCGACATGTAGGTCACCTCAGAGCGAGCAACAGGAAGCCACTAAGAGAAATGTAGCTGTGCATTCCTGGAGACTTCTGGCTTTCGAATTTCATCTGCTACCAACTGACTTGTGGCCTTGAGGTTCAGGCATTAAGTTTCTGCTAGATTCTACGAAGATCCCGAGCATCTGACGGTGCCAACGAAGGTTCCTGCCATGGCCAAGGTCTTGTCAAGGTCCTTGGCAATGCCAAAATCCGTGAGTTTGACGAAGCCGCTTCTGTTGTGAAGGATGTTCTCCGGCTTGATGTCTCGGTGCAACATCTTCTTCTTGTGCAAGTAGTCTAGGCCATTCATGATCTGGTAAGTGATATTGGACAGGTAGAACGGGGGCACCCCGCTCCCACCAAGACGCTTCTTGAGGTCTGCGAGACTACCCAAGTCCATGAACTCCAACGCGACGTGCACAACGCTGGTACGTTTGGACATGAAGCCTGCGTACCTAGGTCGACCAGCCGCGATCTAAGATGCAAGCCGCAAGACTGCAATTTCAATTCTACAACTTATCAGAGAAACCAGAGTGGGAATGGCTGCCAACGACAGGGTGAGCTGCCAGTGGACGAGATTAATGCAGCCGTCCGCTGCGATAAGACCTCGGATCTCGTTGAGAAGCTGCTCGCGCTTGGCCTTGTCGTCAACTTTCACCGTCTTCACCTTAGACGGTCAACCTGTCGCCTGCTACGAGTAAGACATCTGCATTCCAACCTGAGGCGAGAACGGCTACAGGAATTCCCGTCTGCTTGATGACACCCTTCATGACCTGGGCTTGCAGGCTTGGCATCTCTGGGCATTGAACACTGGGCCGCATGCTGTGCCGCATGCATGGCAAAAGCACATGCACTTGGGTAGATCCGTAACACGTCCAAAGAGTTGCTAGGGAGCAGGTTGGGCTTGCAAGGCAGCACATGCAAAGCCCTTGGCCATCTTTTCTCACCCCACCGGCGCCCTGCGCCGCTGAGGACAGGACGACACCGCAGGCCCCGGCGCCGAGATGCGAGTCGGCCTCCAGCTCGATGTCCTGTGGCGAAAAATGCCCGGAGGCCGAAGGTTCAAGGCGTGTGAGGCTCATTCGCTTCCTACTCTCGGTGCCCTCCCGCACAGGCGAGGACGTAGGCAAATCTCAAGCAAGATCTCTCACCCCGATATATTCTTGTTGAGTTTCGATGTGCAGAGCGGGCTGCCGGGGCTGGTGGTGTCGCGATAACAAAGGCATGCTTATGCCCACTTGCCGGTCTAATCAGCTGTGCAGTCTCTGACATGCTCCCTCCATATCTCAAAGTTTTCTTGCAGGTCAAAGGGAACAACATGGTGTCGTCCAGTCTCACCCATATTCCCGCGTCTGACATGGGTTGTAGTTACATCTTGGCGTTGCCACTTGCCACGCTGCGCGTGCGCTTTTGCTGCTTTTCTGGCCCGTGTGTCGCACCTTCATGCCACTGTGACGGTAACTGTTCTTCAAGTTCGCCTGCTACGCTCGAGACTTGAGTCGACAAGGCTATAGCGGCTACAATCCCTGCCTTATTAAACTTTCCGTTGGTTGTCCGCTGGAACGGGGAACCTGTGCCAGCCAGAGCGGCACCAAAGCGGTGGGGCTACACACTCTGCCGCTGCACTGGTGACTGCCTTGGGGATGGATGGGCACTGTGAGCGAGCAATCGCTGAGCTGATCTAGCCTATCGGAGACAACGCGAACTTGGGTCTCCTGCTGCCATCCTGCTGGTCTCCTGGTTGTCTTCTGGCGTTTCTTGGTGCTCTCCTGGTGTAGTAGGGGTCTCTGGTCTCCTGGTATTCTGTTTGCGGCCTCCTGGTGGGGACTGACTTGAAAAACGCAACAACTTGGGCGCCGGCGGGTCTGTAGTCCCGCTTTGTCGCGGGGGCTCCCGGGTCCCGCATACTGATTCCTCTTGTTTCATGTACAGCCCCTTCTTCTGCACGTCTCCTGTTACGCCGGTCCTCACGCCATGCTCCTTTCCTATTGATCTTCGTTCATATCAGGAGAAACTGCCTGCCAAGGGCGCTTGACGGCACCCTCTCCTTCTTCGGTGTTGCGCCGCACGCGGCCGCATTTGTCGAAGCTGTGAATCGATCCGTCTCGCTGCCCCTGTAATTGAATATTTCTTCTGTTGAAAGACACGCAAAGTTGAGTGCACCCGGAGAGATAATTATATGAACTATATGTGTATCATTGTGTATCCCAGTCCTCCGGCGAGAGGTGGTATTCTCGACCTTCAAACCTGCTCATCTGCAACATGCGCAGAATGCAGCAGTAGTCATCGAGATGTTGAGTCTCTCTCTCTACTCAATGGATCAGCGACGCGACATCATGAGGTTAACTACTTGCGAAATCTTGAGAAGCCTCGATACCTCCACTCGGAGGTTTCAGCCAAGACGCGTGATGCCGGAATCAGAGGATACTTTCGTACCCGTCTTTTTGTGACGCATCGATCCAGTAGCAGCGTCGATTTCCCAGGTCATAGAGACTGAATTGTCGCTGTCCACATCGTCCATCTCCAGCCTTGCCAAGCTCATCTTCCAAACTGCTCTCTGAGTCGGAGCTCGCTAAATCAATGAAACTTTCATATCTCCATTTTTCAGTGCTAGCAATGGACCGTGCGCGAACTTGTGCAGCAGCGTGGAACATAAAATCTTCCAGGGCGCATGATCCCCCTCGGCGGCATGGTTCTTCAGCGCGTCTCTGAGAGAAGGACACGGAAAGGGCCTCAGCAAATCCAGAAAGATCATGCAGGATTGGCCAGAGTAAGGAACAAAAGTCGTCCAGCCACTTATCTTCTGCACTTTCCACCTCATCTGAGCACTTGGCTTGGAAAAGACACTGTTGCGCATGGCACGGGTGCAAAGCCCCGACCACGGTTCTTGGAGCCAGTGCTGCAGGATGGAGCATGTGAGCATGTGTACGCTGGCAATGTCACCTGCTGTCCCTTCTGGAATATGCCGGAATCTGGTGCGGAGGCAAGACTTGCGCTTGCAGCATCTATGCCAGCTCAACACAAAAAACTCGAATCAAAGCTTCAGCCAACATGCTCGCTGGCATGGCAGAAGCTCTCCCGGGTCCTCCTTTAAGCGATGGCTTGCACTGTCAGCATCAGGCCTCAGCCAACACTGCCGGCGTGGACTCGGGCAAGCAATTGTTACAAAGGTGTTTGTGTGCCTTTTCAGCTGCGAAGCCCTCGTATCTTCGAACATTGCTTGAGCAGCCACTTCTCTCGCAGGCGAACCGATTTCTCCGCATGGGCGTGGTGGCATCATTCTGCCCACTAGGATGCCCTGGGCTTGCTTGGCTGCCGCAGCCGGTAGAAGTCAAGACCTGACTCCGCTTCCGCTGCAGGCTTGAGTATTCCGTGTAGCTCCCTCCTGTAAACCAAAGCTGACTGCGTTCAGATCCAGCCACGACCATACGAACCGCAGCAATCCATGCTTGGCTCTGCCTCGGGCCCTGCAGTTATGCGGCTAATGCTTGAAGGCAAGACACTATAGAGCCCGAAGAACACGATGTACATACCTCTGGCCATTGACCGGGCTGCCAATCTCAGCCATGCAACTTGAGACCGCACATGTCTCATGCTGCCCAGGGGCCGACGGACAGGTACCTTAGCTACCACTGGGGCCCGTCGCAACTCAAACACACTGCCCTGCTTCTGCAAAGGCCTTTCAGCCAGCACACTGAGCCAAGCCGGCTATGTCGAATTGGTGCTTTGCTCCCGAGTCCCTGAGCAAACGTGAGCGAAGGGAAGGGCAAAATCTGTTCTGCTGTCACGGTCACTGGTTATGCCTGGCAAACGACAATCAATCACCACTGTCATGCTGCAGCACAGCTTGGCTTCCACAATGTGCTACAGAAGCTGCAACTTTCACAAGAGCTGCGTGCCGGCTCGTCTCCACCCATACGGTTTGGTTGAGCCTCCCTTGCCTCTGATAGGACCCATTGGTCATGCTAGGCTTGTGCTTCTTCCCCATGCCTTTGCGGCGGCAGGGCCCCTCCCCCTTCTTGCTGAGGCGCGCCTTTGGTTCTCGACAGTGTGGAGTGCTAGATACTTATGCCGACGGTTCTTTTTCATACATAGAGGCATGTATCCATCCATCCATTCATCCATCCGTGCAGTCATGCATCCAGCCCACCCGGCAACCAACCGACCAGACCGACGAACCATCCACCCGTCCATCCATGCATACCTCCCTGCCTCCCTTCCTCCCTCCATGCATACGTACAATCGACACGATACGACGGCACAGTAAACGACAGCACATTGCGCTGCATTGGATTGCCCTATAAAGCCGTACATGCCCAGGTACAGACATATGTTCAGACAGGATCAGACAGGCACACAGACACACTGACAGATAGACAGACAGACGGACACACAGACAGACAGACACAGACAGACAGATAGACAGACACACAGACAGACAGACAGACAGACAGAGACAGACAGAGACAGACAGAGATAGACAGAGACAGACAGAGACAGTCAGAGACAGACAGAGTCAGAGACGGACAGAGACAGTCAGAGACAGACAGAGTCAGAGACGGACAGAGACAGACAAAGACAGACACAGACAGACACGGCCAGACCCAGCCAGACACAGCCAGACAGAGACAGACAGAAAGACAGACAGACAGACAGACAGACAGACAGACAGACAGACAGACATTTTGACACACACACACGCACACGCACACGCACACGTACACACATGCACACAGGTACTCACACATGCCCACATACCCACACACACGCACAAACACGCACGCATACACACGCACATATACACATACAGACACACGGACGAACACACATGCCCACCTACATGCTTACGTACCCAAATACCTAAGACAGACTTTCGCACACACGTACATACACACATGGATGCATGCTACAACATGCAAGTACGTCTGTCCAGGAACGCGGGATCACGCGGGCATACACGCAAGCACAGGTGCACAAATTAAACCCAGACTTCTCACATGATGTCAGTTGGCCAGTTGGGTATGTAGAACCTTCAGGCGATCTTTCCGTGCGTGTGTGTGTGTATGATATGCTTCCGTGGGAGCTGCACCCGAGTGAGTTCTGATTTTCTGCGGTTTTTCCCCTCTCTCCCGTGGGAGTCATGGTCTGGCATGTCACAAATCTCAGATTGTATGACACGAAGTGATTTTGTTTGTTTGTTTGTTGGCTTGCTTGTTTGTGCGTGTGATTGTGTCCTCGTCTGTGTGTGGATGTAGGCGTCGGTGGATGGCAGCGTGACTGAGGGTGAACCGGGGTTTGCGGGGACGGGTGGGGTGGGCGGGTTTGCTCGTTCGTGCTTGCGACGGCTTTGAAATATTCCGACTGCTCCGTGCCAGCGAATTTACAGGCATGCAAGCGCACGGCCTGGCTGGATGCAAAGCCTCCGCCAGAGGTGCCGCGACGAATGTGGTGGCAGATGCGGCCGCCTTTCCGCCGGACAGAATCAATTGCAGGGCAGCATCACACAGGTGCGGATACTCCGCATGGGCCCAAAGACTGACTCATGCATGCATTCAGAGCTTGCCTTCAGCCACCTCGTTTGACTCACCAGCTGGGAGAAAGCAGGGCTTCTGCAGTAAAAGGCCGCATACGTCATGGTGCAGCCTGGCTCAAACATATCGAAAAGCGAAGGGTTGAATTCGAGACCTAGCTTTGGGGTTCCTCTGCGACTGCTCCAGTTGTACCCCAAGGGATGCATTGGGAGCACATGCTGCCAAACTGTGACGGCCGAGGACAACACTGAGTGAACGACTTAATCATCCGACGGTCTTAGGTGTAAGCCTTCGGCGCAACAGTCAACATGCATGGTCCGCATGGTGTATACGAGTGACTGGCCAGCATCTACACGCATGGCTACCTTACTGCGGCGACCACCCTTTCCGTAACATCAAACCAAGCAGCAATGCATCATGCATCCCATGAAGAAGAAAAGGGCAAATGCTTGGTGAAGCTTGCCTGCAATGTGCAGAGGACAGACTGTCACCCGCCTAATGCTAAACACTGCATTATCACCATTAGGGTACCCCAACACGCCCTTGCGAGCAGCCACTTTGACCCCAGAGACAACTGTTCACACATAGCATTTCCGCAATGGTGAGAAGTCGGTCCTGCACCCGCGTTTGTCATTGGGTAGCCCCCACAAACACCCTAACAACTCTTTGAGAATAAGAGTTTCTTCATTCGTCGAGAGGCCGGCAGGTCAGCACTGAGCATGTGCATTTGTAACAAATTGGGGTCTACAGTCTACAGAGGCCTTCCGCTTGGTACTGCAAACAACACGCAGTAGTCGTCGTCTCCGTCATGCTATCGTAGCGCTTTTTGTGGTGGTGGTGGTGGTGGTGGTGGTGGTGGTGGCAGTAGTAGTAGCAGTAGCAGTAGCAGTAGCAGTAGCAGTAGCAGTAGCAGTAGCAGTAGCAGTAGCAGTAGTAGTAGTAGTAGTAGTAGTAGTAGTAGTAGTGGTAGTTGTAGTAGGCGTAGTAGTAAGCAGCAGCAGCAGCAGCAGCAGGAGGAGGAGGAGGAGGAGTAGTAGTAGTAGTAGCAGTAGTAGTAGCAGCAGCAGTAGCAGTAGCAAGCAGCAGTTTTTTGCCACCCACTGACAGCAGCAGTAGTAGTAGTAGTAGTAGTAGTCGTCGTAGCTGCAGTAGGTGCTACTGTCGCTGCTACTACTCGTACTACTCCTGCGACGACGACGACGACGGACGACGACACCTACACTACTACTAGTCTTCTACTTCTACTACTTCTTGTCGTTTCTTTGTGTTGGCAGCTTTAAGCCAAAGGTGCGAAACCCACTTCGCATTAGAGAGGGTGGCAAAACAGTCACCTCAAACTGAAGTAGCATGGTAACTTCACGTGCATGACGGTCACCCAACCAAACAGGGCACTACACTTCGAGTTTCTCACTTAACTGCTTGCCGCCTGGGTTCTATGCACGCTGAGCTCACTGCTCGCTGAGGCAATCTTCTCCAAGATCCCCTGCTCCAGAGTCACGAGGCCTTGACTCGCCTCGGTTCGTTAAACCGAGAGGATACACGGAACCTTTTGGGTCAGTTCCGGTGAAGGACTTGAAGCAGTGAAGCGCTGGAGGGGTGCACAATGAGCAATCATCGATGCACTTCTGTCCCGTATTGGACTTTCTACGCGACACGAAGCATTCTCTGACAAGACGCCGCTCCGAAGCTTGCCAAGCAGCCACCTAACCAGCCATAGTACGCACCTGGGAAACTGGTAAAAGCCAAGCACACTGCCAAACAAGGACCCGCGAATCAGGCATGCGCCAGAATATGTGCGAAATTCCTTCAATGTCAGTGACAACTCCCGCTACTGAACCATCGGATCGAGTCGGTGCTGACCAAGCCTAGGCACACTGGCCAAAGCCGGCAGCAGTCAGCAAGGGCGCGAAAACAGCCGACCAAAGCCGAACGCTGGCTGCTAACAGCAATCCCGTCACCAAGAAACCGATCTGGTACAAGGTGTGTTCCTCCAATAAGAAGGGACGTGTCGCACTCAAACCACTCATGGCACTAGAGATTAAGTGTTGACGTCCTCCAATATTGTGCTGTGGCGCATCGGGCTTTCCTGATCGGGCCCTCTGTTTTGTCTATGCCTGCCACGTGCTACGTCCCATCCCGGGGCCTGTTTCAGTCCGAAGGCCTGAGTCAGCTGCACAAGGTGTAATGGGGTTTTGCTACTCTGTCCCCACAGTAAGTGTACTGCACAGTGTGTGGCCAATCGCATGGCACAAGAAATGCTCGTGAGCTCTTCTTTGAGCGTTTCATCCTTCAGCCTATGCAACGAGAACTGTGCTGCAGCATCCAAGCATCTGGTTCCAGCAGCCCCAGAAAGGAAATCGGAGGTGTTGTTGAACCTGGTGGCAGGTGGCCCCGGCTGGCTGCCAAACAGTACACGCCAGCGATGGTGGCAGTTCCGCAGAATGCACCCAGACCAGGGACGGCCCAAAGCCAGGAGGACTGAGCACAGTCTTGGGCCGACTCTGACAACATCGAGTCCGAATGACTGTGGTCCTTGCAAGCAGCCATGTGCACGGCCAAGTTGATGTCTAGGATCGTGTAGCTGCTTCTGGACTAAGAATCACAAACGTAATCGTCAAGATGATGCAGAATGAAGTGTTTCAGCTTCAGGAGCAAATCCAGCTCACTCTTCCCAGTTGAGCTGAATGGCAGTACATGCTGGGGGGCATTGTGGCAGTCGGACCGCTGACAGGATTCGGCGGTAAGCACGAACACGGAGCATCTGCAGAGGACAAATCTGAGCCAGATTCATGCGCTTCGGGCCCTGGCCAAGCCCCATCCGCAAAGGCTTCGCCAGAGGATCGTCCTTGAGGCGCTTAAGAGAGACCATTTAACCAAGCAGAGGCATAGCTACCTTTGCATTCAGAAGTAGTGGACGTGATTGGATGGGCTTGGGAAGAATATTTGTCCGAAAACATCTCGGCATCCCGACCGAGTGCTCGACCCAACAAGTCTTTCTAAGCCTGACTACCTGGATACTTTTCTTTCATCTCGTTGCCCATAGCTAATTACTTGCCGACTTGATCGGCCCGATAGTCGCGCAGATGTGCCCGTGCACAAGACGGCACTGAACCAAGTTTGCCCAAGTCAAACCTAGCCACGCCACACACACTTGCTTCGGAACTGGACAAATTACGTGCTCCATAGCATGGTCCCGACCAGAATCTTCATCTCTGCATGCTACCACCCCTTTGTCCTCGCGGGGCATAAGCGGCGCTAGCTGCACGCAAGCCGGGACCTGAGAACGCACGGCACGGCTGAGCCGTCGTCAAGACTACTTGTTGCCAGCTTTTTTTTCAAATCAGGGCGTCCCCTATCGTTTTACCAGTGTTTGCAACTTGAAGCATACTGGAACAAACGATGCACTGCTTTAGAGTAGAGAGATACAGTGTAGAACATGCAGCATTCCAGGGTGTGGCCTTGGGTTGCAGTCTTTGAGGTTTTTGGAAGTCGTTGGGGCTTTTGGGTGCTGAGCTTCGTCTCTGCTCTTCCTTTCGAAAGGGCGCGGCATCGTGCGATTATGAAGAACTGGTTTCTGAGGGCATGCGAAGTTTTTTGTGGTGCAGAGAGGTGGTTTAGGCCTGGGGTTTAAGCTACTAGGATTTCGCGAGTTTAAAGATGTTTGGACTGTTTGGGGTCTTCATTCTGGTCCAAGGAATAGTGCGGGCACCGTACATGAACGGCGCCCATCTCGGCCACCCGGGCTCGTTCTGTCCAATTTAGGGACGTCGTCTCATTTCCAAAATTTCCATCCCGACAACCGCCGCACCCTTACTAAAACCTAAAATCCCGCCACCCTCTGTTGAACGAAACCAGCAGGCAAAGGTTACAATGGCAACATTGCGGTGTTGAGGGTATCGTCTTTAGGGCGTCCCCTATCGATTCAGGTCACCACTAGCATTTGCTATCTTCAACAAAAGCCCGCTTAAGAATCAATATACGATAATGTTGACCCCATCTCACATGAACGGCATCGTAAAACATCCAAAACATCAACGTTCGCAGAATGACCACCTGGAGAACCCTGCATGCGATCCCAGGCGCTGCTCGCACAGCGCCGCTCGCTCTTCCGACGGAGGCCGTCCTGCAAGAGACTGTGCGACGTGCTGTAAGCCACACCAGCAGCAGTCTCTCAGCCATCTTTGTTGACTTGGCAAACTGGCGTCAATACAGATGCCCCATGCAGGCACACACAGTGCCAAAGCAGAAAGCTGCACAACACTCCTCGTGATTGCTGCGATAGATGAATCCACCCCCGACTCTGCCACAAACCTGAAGGCATGTGTGCGCTGTCACTGCCGGAACTCGAGCGGCTTTTGGATGCGATTGATGGCATGCACGCGATTGCGCAAACTTACTGGGATCCGAACCGTTTCCTGGGAGTCGCGCATTGCATGGCCGTGTGCAGGCTTGTCTACTTCTTCAAAATTACAGCCGAGTTTATCTCATGCCAATTGAATTTCCGTGTTTCCGCTCTGCCTGTAAATCATATGGTTGCTATGATGTTTGGGCCTCGGGCAACCCTGCGGCAGGGGGCTGGAACCTGCAAAACATGCTCGCACCTTCATGGCTGTCGGCCGGTATGCAAGCCTATCTTCCCAGTGACCTTCGCCAGATAACGGAGCTGCTTGTCAGAATGCCAAAGTGCCGCAGAGCGCCGGACAGCATAGCTCAATCCCATACCACAATACCGTTTTTGTTCTCGCATCACTGTAAACAAATACCTCAGCAACAACGAAGGATCCGTAGCATATTAAACTGCCGGCCCGATCTCCACTAGACGATGCCTTTGTCGCGCACAAATTGGTAGACAATCGATCGAAAGAAAAACATCGCAACCTGAGAGGTAAATCCCCCCAAAAGCATTGAGGCCACCTCAACGCCTACCTGGCCGATCCAGAACAAAAGGAATCCGAAGAGCATGTCCTACCACGGATCTTCAGCTCAACCATACGATTGGGGTCTTCCACAAAGACCACTCAGGCCAGACTTCCGGCGAATCATCCGAGCAGAAATACAGAGGAGATTCATCCCGTCTGGCCATGTTACTCTCCGAGAAATATCAGGACTCGAGCCGGTGGGCAGGAACCAAGAAGCTCGTGTGGAGTATTGCGGAGTACCCTGATCAAGCGCGTGCACCAGGTTGAATTGGCTTCATCAGTCAGTGTGCTTTAAATAACTCCGTCCATAAGTTGCATTAAGCTGCTGTATTTTGAATACTTCGAATACACTCTAGAGTTGTTCTAAAAATTAATTTCATGTGTTTAGTACCAGAAGATATATAATATAGCTCAACTAGCTCAGCAATTCAATAGTTCAACTAGTTTAACTACCTGGAAGCTAACCTAGTCTCTGAAGTGTAGCCAATGCAAGTAAAGTGTTGGATGTGCTTAATTTGCGTCTGTGCTGAACCTAATTCGAGAAGCTCGCTCGAACCGGGTCGAACCGGTTCGTTCGGTCCCGGTCAGGACAGATCAGCCAGTCAACCAGATCTCGGTGGGCCTGGTCGGCCAGTCAGGTTCCGTTCTCCGACACCCTTCCGGGGCCCGCGGGTTCAGAGCGATCGCTCGTGTTGCGGTGCACTGACATTTGCTAGGCTCAGATTACCACGGCTTTAACAAGCCTGGGGACCGACGGCTGTTGAGGTGATCTGGTCAGCTGCCCCCGGCCACCGGCACAGGCAACAACAGCGGAAGATGGATGTTGTCAGCCTTGCTTGTTTTGTATTGTTTCGTGGTGACTCTTAGTCTTGGTATGTCTTGGTATGGAGCGCTCGCACCGCCAGTGTGGGAGATCGGTGGCCTGCGTTTTCTGCACACGAACTGCATTTATTCTCTGCTGCTCATTGCACCAGTGCAGACTCGGACGGAATTCTTTCACGGAAGCTCGTTATAGTATGCGGGGCGCAGTGGGTTCTGGCTCCCATCAATCTAGGTCGACCTGCCTTGGACGTTGCGCTGCGGCCGGTCGTCGTGTGCGGAGTGCTGGATTCGTGGCGACCAGCTTGGACGACACCCGGGAACCCGATACCCCTTAATTCAAGGAATATACCTTACATTATAGGGGCCATCTAATAACTTAAATATATTCCTTACGTAAGGGGTTCTCTGGGTGCAGGGCATAAGAGGGGTGGTTTGGACTCCTCGGCCTCCAGGGCCCCCCATGGGGCATTTTGAAGGGATATATTAGGGTCTTGCTTGCTTGCTACAGAGCAAAGTCACAAACGCGTGCCCTCCTTGGAGGGGGCTCTGTCCGTCCGGCCTCCCGCGCCACTGTCGGCGTGAAACCAGAACAACAGGGGCTTTCCCCTCGTACACCTTTAAACTTTAAACCCTCCTCCACGCCTATCCCCGCCTCACAGCCCGAACCAGACCATGATGCTTGCTTGCTTACCATGATCTCCCTCTCTCTCTCTCTCTGCCGTGCCATCGGTGTTCGGCACATCGTTTTTCTGGCGCATGGCTCTGGAATGGAACGCAACGATGGTGAGGTGCACTGTGGGCTGCTCGACGAGCCACTCACGCTTTTGCCGTGATTTCTCTGGGCTGCGATTGCAATAGACTACGATTGGCCTACTGTGGGCTGGCTCGTGTCTGTAAGCAAACCTCTCCGGCGGCTACGCTCGCGTTCTTCCTTTCGCTCGGGAGTTGGATGCAGTGCTTAAGATCTGCCGATTCTCCTCTCGGACGCCGCGATCATGTCGGTAGTTCGCCATCTCACCTGCCTCCTGGTGCAGATCAAAAGTTCCAGGAGGCAAGAGCTTCTGCACGAAATCGAGTCCAGCAGGTGCATCAGACTCCGATCAGAATATATCAGGATTTCGTCACAGGGTATTGTTGCTGAACACAGAGATCCAAAAAAGGGACCTCGTTTCCGTTCAAGATTTTGATTTGAGGTCGACGTAGATTGCCGACGGGTCCCTCAGCGACTGGCCTCTGCCCTTGCAAGCACCAGCGCGATCAAAACGGCGTGCTCCTTCACTGTTCCGTACTTGCTGGAACTGCCACGAGACCCGTCCTGGTTCGGCCGCCCGGATTCTCTCCGGTACCTGTGCTACCCAGCTGAGCATCGTCCGAGCAATCCTCGGGAGGTTGAACGTCGACTTACATTTCCAACCTACCTACCAGTACCTTCCTACCTGCCTGCCTGCCTGCCTACCTAGCTGCCTACCACCTACCTACCTCTCACCCAGTCACCCATCGAAAGCGGTGTAAAATGTTCTTCTAGTGTCGGCAGAGTACTTCTCTCCACCCTCTGGAATCAAACGCCACTTTTGCTCGCGCATGGAGCATACCGAGACCCGGCCAACGTTTCGCAGGCGGCCTCACTTCTGTCCGTTGAACTTATGCTTGTATCTTCCAATAGCAGCATGTGAAACGGCCCGTGCCATCACTGGTTCAAAGCATCGGCGCCTGACGGACTGATTCCAAGTGAACGCTTGACAGCAACTTTCCAAAATAGCGCTGAGACACCTGCACCGGGTGGATCTTGTTTTGCCAGCAGAACTCTGGCCGCTGTCTACACGTGCGAAATGACACAAGAACAACTCCGCGAAAACACTGCGCCCGACAAGACCACTTAGCCGCTAGGCCGTGGCATGGTCGACACTGCAGGGGCAACGAGAAGATTTAGTATCACGAATGCAGGCTGCATGTGCTTGAGCGGTTGCCGCAAGCTAAAACACTGTTGCAGCCACGCATTCTTGCGAAAATGCAAGTCCTGTATCCGGCTGTGGTCTGCTTTGTCTCGAGGTAATAGCGTCCGCAAGTTACACCTCATGGTGAATCTGAGTGTCACCTCGAGGCTCAGCAAGTTCTTCTTAAAGGTAGAAACGAGTGGCCACAGGGAGCCAGCATGCGAAGTCCGAAATGGGACATGAGCTGTTTCATACAGTTTTCGTCGGATGCACGCTAGGCTTGCGACAGAATGGCACATTGCCGAAACTCCAACAGCCGATAGACGAAACCAACAAAGCGACGGCCTGCACGACATCCAGACGATGCTCGGGACAAATTGTGCGAATCCAGAGTTTGGAGAAGTGGCCTCTGCCCAGACGCGGCAATCAGTCTATCAACGGCGATGAGCGCATGCAAAGACCAATTTATGGGTGGTAGCTTGCCAGCCTGATTGCGCTGACAGCCGCGGCTGAAGTTGTCATGAGGACTGACTCCCCCTAAACTTGCCGAATTCTCGATCAAGGGTATCTGCACATTCCCATGCATGCCATAAAAAATCAATCAAAACCAAGCACTCTGAAGCCACTCTGTGGTCAGGTGCCTGCAAAGCCAGAACTCGAAATTCATTCGGTCAATTGGGCTCCCAACTCGGCGTTTTCAGATCGAAAAGCAAGTTGCATGATGGTGCAAGATTTGCTGAACACTTGCATGCCGCGCCAACTGCGCCGGCGTGCGACCACGCTTGTTAGGAATGTGAGGATCTGCGCGTGCATCCAACAGATGCTGCACCATGCGGTCTGCACCGAAGAACACCGCATGGCCGAGAGCGGTTGTGCTGATCTCAGCCGTGTACCTGAGACCTGCCACTGTCTCCCGGCTCTCTCCAGCTGCAAGAGCATAGCCGCGACACAACCACTCGACGATGTTGAAGATGCCACTCGTTCTGCATGGTTGGTTGATGTCTGCCTGGGTCTCAACACTCCAAGGGCCAAGGGCCTCTTTTAAACAAGCAGATGTCCGGGCCTCGTTTTCGATCAGCAAATCCAACTGGTCCAGGCAGTGAGGGTTGCTACGTGCTGTGCTGGCAAGGGATGCCAGAGGCCCCATGCCTGTGCCACCTGCAGACCTCAGGAACCAGCAATCAGAGCAGGTTCTGGATGCCACATGCCCCACCGACATACCTTTGGACACACAGCTGAAGCGAATCGAAAGCCAGTCAACAGCCCAAACACCCAAGAAATCCGGCGCGACGAGGCGTCTGTCAATTCACCTCTCAACCTAAAAAGTTGTCCCTGCTTGACCCATGTCTTGAGGCCAGCTTCAGATTCACCTCTGCACCAAGCCGGATAAGCTCCGCCGTGACCTGGACAAGGTTTTAGGGCAGGAAGTCGGTGTACCCGACCCACCCACCCATCTTCCACAACAACAAGATTTTGACCAGCACATGCTTCGAGACAAGCAGCAGCCACGGGAGCTTGGCGGTTGCATGCAGCAGCCAGTGCAGACTGAAAGAAAGGAGGCGGCCTTGAATGGATCATGCCAGCCCAAGAAACAGTTTGGCATCAAAGCCCATCCGGCAGTCGTGCGCCGACACTTGCATTTTGTTCAATTCTGCAAGATGCATTGCCCACCTCAAGTTCACATCTGCCCGATGCTCCACCAACATCTTGACCGACGAGGTCGTGTGGCAGAGTCCCAAGACCTGAGAGGCTCTG